GGGGCCTGCATGGATGAACAAGGAGCTCCTGGACACGACCAAAAGGAAAAAGGAGGCCTATAGGGAGTGGAAACAGGGGCGGGGAGCCTGGGGGGAATACAGAGGAATCATTTGAGCAGCCAGGGACAGGGTTAGACAAGCTAAAGCCCAGATAGAACTCAATCTGGCCAGGGACATTAAGACAAACAAAAAATCCTTCTTGAAGTATGTCAGCAAGAAAAAAAAGACCAGGGAAACCCCCTCCGGAAGGAAACGCAAGAACCGGGACAGAGACAGAGCTGAGGTCCTCAATGACTTTTTTGCCTCAGTCTTCACTGGCAAGGACTGCAGCCGCACCGCCCAGGACGCAGAATGCAAAGGCGAGAACTGGGAAAATGGAGAACTGCCCACTGTAGGTGAAGATCAAGTGCAAGACCACCTGAGGAATCTGAAGGTGCACAAGTCCATGGGACCTGATGAGATACATCCGAGGGTGCTGAGGGAACTGGCAGATGAAGTCGTGAAGCTACTAGCCATCATATCTGAGAAGTCGTGGCGGTATGGCGAGGTTCCCCTTTCCAACTGGGAAAGGGGAAACATAACCCCTATTTTCAAAAAGGGAAAGAAGGAAGACCCGGGGGACTACAGGCCAGTCAGCCTCACCTCTGTGCCTGGCAAGATCATGGAGCAGATTCTCCTGGAAACTCTGCTGAGGCACAGAGAAAACAAGGAGGTGATTGGTGACAGCCAGCAGGGCTTCACCAAGGGCAAGTCATGCCTGACAAATTTGGTGGCCTTCTACAAAGGGGTTACAGCAGCAGTGGACAAGGGAATATCAATGGATGTGCTGGACTTGTGCAAAGCGTTTGACACCATCCCACACGATACCCTGGTCTCAAAATTGAAGAGACATGGATTCAACAAATGGACCACTCGGTGGATAAAAACCTGGCTGGACGGTCACACTCAAAGAGTTGCAGTCAATGGCTCGATGTCCAAGTGGAGAGCAGTGATGAGTGGTGTTCCTCAGGAGTCAGTACTGGGATCTGTACTGTTCAACATCTTTGTCACAGACATGGACAGTGGGGTCGAGTGCACCCTCAGCAAGTTTGCCGATGATACCAAGCTGTTTGGCGAAGTAGACACACTGGAGGGGAGGGATGCCATCCAGAGGGACCTGGACAGCCTGGAGAGGTGGGCCCCAAGACAACCTCATGAACTTCAACAAAGCCAAGTGCAAGATCCTACATCTGGGTCTGGGAAATTCCAAGCACAAATACAGGCTTGGCAGGGAATGGGTGAAGAGCAGCCCTAAGGAGAAGGACCTGGCTGTGCTGACTGACCAGAAGCTCAACATGAGCCAGCAATGTGCAATCACAGCCCAGAAGGCCAACCGGATCCTGGGCTGCATCAGAAGAAGTGTGGCCAGCAGGTCAAGGGAGCCAATTCTGCCCCTCTACTCCACTCTCGTGAGACCCCACCTGCAGTACTGCATCCAGCTCTGGAGTCCTCAACATAAGAAAGACATGGACCTGCTGGAGCCTGTCCAGAGGAGAGCCACGAGGATGATCCGAGGGCTGGAGCACCTCTCCTATGAGGAGAGGCTGAGAGAGTTGGGGATGTTCAGCCTGGAGAAGAGAAGGCTCCGGGGAGATCTTATTGCGGCCTTCCAGTATATAAAGGGAGCCTACAGGAGAGCTGGGGAAGGACTTTTTACTAGGGCATGTAGTGAGAGGACAAGTAATGATAGGACAAGGGGGAATGGCTTCAAACTGGAAGAGGGCAGGTTTAGATTAGATATTAGGAAGAATTTTTTCACTGTGAGGGTGGTGAGGCACCGGAACAGGTTGCCCAGAGAGGTTGTTGGGGCCCCATCCCTGGAGGTGTTTAAGGCCAGGCTGGATGTGGCCTTGGGCAACCTGGTCTAGTGGGAGGTGTCCCTGTCTATGGCAGGGGGGTTGGAACTCGATGATCTTCAAGGTCCTTTCCAACCTAAACTATTCTATGTTTCTATGAATCTCCTCTGGACGTCCTCAATGGCTCTGCTCTTTTTTCTACACTGGCTGCACCTGGAGGTTTAATTACAGAATCACAGAATGGTATGGATTGGAAGGGACCTTTGGAGACCATCTAGTCCAACGCCCCTGCCAAAGCAGGTTCACCTACAGCAGGTTGTGCAGGAATTTTTATCTTCATAGAAGGAGACTTCACAACCTTTACGGGCAGCCTGTTTCAGTGGTCTGCCACTCTCAAAGGAAAGAAGCTTTTCTTTATGTTTAGACGGAACTTCCTATGTTCCAGTTTGTGCTCATTGCCCCTCGTCCTGTCACTAGGCACTAGTGAAAAGAGTCTGGCCCCATCCTCCTGACACGCACCCTTTAGATATTTATAAGCATGGATGGGATCCCCTCTCAGTCTTCTCTTCTCCAGGCTAAACAGACCCAGGTGTCTCAGCCTTTCCTTATAAGAGAGATGCTCCAGTCCCTTGATCATCTTCATAGCCCTCCACTGGACTCTCTCCAGTATTTCCTTGTCTTTCTTGAACTGGGGAACCCAGAACTGGACACAGCTCTCCAGATGTGGCCTCACCAGGGCAGAGCAGAGGGGAGGATGACCTCCCTTGACCTGCTGGACACACTTTTTAATGCACCCCAGGATGCCATTGGCTGCCTTAGCCACAAGGGCACATTGCTGACTGATGGCCAACTTGTTGTCCACCAGGACACTGCTGCATGGCAGGAAATAGACCACAATCAGAATGAAAATTAGGAACCAAAACAGAATGATGACTGAAGCCATATTCATGTCTCAAAAAATCTGTAGAATATCTCCAATAAGACAAATTCATTATCTTTTTACACCTTCTACTGGCTGAAATTTTGCAACCAAGAACGCCAATAAGACATGGAAGAGTCTCCTTTTCCAGATATCCTAAAGCTCACACACACAAATGACTAGTACACTGGGCTGAAACCATGACATGTTTAAGTCCCACAGTTAATCTTAAGTACACCAGCAGCCTCAGAGGAGTGCTCAGGACCATGTATCAGGAAGCCACTGACCAGCGGCGCCAGTTGCTCCAATCCCTGACAGAGGGATTGGAAACACAAAAAAACCTGATGGAGAGTAACTGAAGCTCTTAATTATTATGAATGTCTTAAAAATAAGTACAGAAGTTTGCATAGGCTTTTTAAGGATTATAGTGTCATATTTCATGATACACATCCTGAGAATTGTCAAAGAGATAAACAGATACACAGTTTTTAAAGGAAAATTAATATAAGGTTTTGGTTGGCATTTTGTGGTTTTTTTGGTTTGTTTTTTCAAATTATGAAGCTTCTGGTTTTGAATACTATCAAATGAAAAGATTAGTTGCAGCCTAGGACAGACATAACCATCACAAATATTCTTCTCTTTACAAAAAAACTAGTTCATTTTTTGTTTTTTTCCCCACCCGTATTATGCACTAATCCTGGCTCATATAATAGCTTCCTCATATAGCCAGGGAAAGCAAGGAGTGCAATTTATACATACCTGTCTTTGTTTTATACACAACATACCAGAGAAAGCAATCACATTATATATGAGTAAACAAATTGAAATGGAAGAAAATCAGTATCATCGCAGTGGCTGGTCATAAGGTCATTATATGTCTTTGTCTAGATCCCCATGAAACATGATTAGAAACTACCGACAGTTGAAATAAAGCTGTTTATTTAGTTGTTTAGTTGTTTATTTAGTTGTTTATTTATAAAGTTTATTTATATAAACAGTATGAAAATAAGAATTTGTTTTAATGTTGAGTCCATCTATGTAATCCACAGAGTGATACATAGCTAGAATCTCCTGCCCACATAGATGTTAATGGCATAAATCTGTTGAGCAACAGACATCACTATGATGAATTTGCTGTTAAGTTTACCATTCAAGATGAGAGGAGCGCAACAGTTCATCCACAAACAAACAGGTTCCATAATATAGAATATGTGAAAAATTCAGCTCAGGCTTTCCTGTTGTCTATTTATCACATTTCTACTCCTCTTTGCAGCAAAGAGTTTGAAAATATGACCTATATATACTTTACCCTCAGAAATAAAGCAAGTAACTACAGGGTTTTCAAAGTGTGAGGGGTTCAGTTTTACTTTGTTTACAGGAAGCAGGGAGTACAGGAAGCAGGGAGGAGGGAGTGGGCAAGGGGGAAACCAAGAAGTGCAGGTTTTGTTTCTCTTCTCTCCATTTTTAAATGTCTTGACTTTGCATTATCAGCTTAAAAACCCTGTGATGGAGATAGCTATTCCCACTGACCACTTACAGTAACTAAACTAGGATTTCTAGACCTGCACTGTGTCCTGCTGGTTTGAAAAGTGGCAAAACAGATAAGGCATAAATACTATAGGATATACCACTAAATTACATCAGACTTAATTTCTGACAATGACTCTCCATTAGGGCAGGAACACCTGTTGTAAGATCCTGGATATACCATTGTTCAAAGGGCAATGCAATGGCAGTTAGTGCACCTCCAATTATTACTAAAAAAACGATAACACAATCACCATTAAAAAGAAAACCATTTCCATTCAAACAGTGCCTCACTATCTTCATGCATAGACCCATTGACTGTACATGATTATTTGCTCCAGTGAAGTTATACACAAGCCTAAAAGAGTGAGTCCAACATCTGGTAGACCAGGACTTTCCAATTTATACAAACTCCTTATTTTGTTCTGATTTGCCAAAAACTAGTTTAAATCTGACTTAAGAAGAGATCCTCTTTTGCTATTGTAAACATGAACGACTGACAGACAGAAAACAGTAGACATCATCTTAATTAGTTTGCATGAACACCAGAGACACCAAAAAGCTCTTTCTTACAATAGTAACAGATCAGTACCTATACACTGAAAATCATTTGGAAAAAAAGTTAAATACTAAAAAAGTCAGTTTTGCAATCAGCAAAATACAAATATTGGGGAAACAGGTATGAGGAACAATTTTCCTTCTATATTATAGACATTTACCTTTGCAACTCCAGCCCTATGAGCACCTTGTGATTCCATGTATGCCAAGTATTTGTTGAACTCCCTGAATTCATCCATTGAAGGTCTAAAAGTCATGATTTTGCAGCTTGGATTTGGAGGACTATCTGAGATGACAGCAGCCATTGTGGGTCACTTTCAATCCAGCTTTAAAAAAAAAAAAAAAAGAAAAAGACAAAAAAGTAACATACACTGAAGAGAAAAATCCGTAGAACAATTTCTGAGATTTGACATACATGTTGCAAACAGGAAAAAAGCTTCCAAAATCCTCTGCCCATGCTGGTATAAAATGCCCAAAGCAAATATTTAGTTTTCCTCCTTACTCCTTTAGGAATACTCAGCCCTTACCCAAAATGAACACTATAATGAGTGACATTTATACAGTCCAGTCCATACCTCTGTTTTAATGGCACATTTTCTCAAGTTAACCTTTAACACTGTATCAGCATCTTCCTGTGTTGATACATCTGCAGATTGCTGCATTTCTCTGTCTAAAGATTTACATCACACATGCACAATCTAGAGTAAAAAGCTACACACTTCATAAAATACCACTGTTTCCATCTAGTATAAGGAGAAAATTGATTACCCACTTCACACTCACACTGCAAACATAGGAAAAGAGCACCTGGATTTCCTAACTCTCACATCAGCAGTTTCACAACAGAACTATATTAACACTCATTCTCTGAAACACCTTCAACAGAAACAAAGCATTCAAGTGATACATGTAAAGACAATCAGTGTCTCCCCTTATTTCCCTTTCTACCCTGAGGATGGCTAAAAACAAAAGTCATACTTCTTTTTCATACCAAGATACAGTAATCATGAAAAGACTAATCTTTATGCAACTGGCAGATATATTTTAGCTTCAGCAGGTGTTGAAATTGCCAACCATACATCCACATGTGCCACCTACTGTTCACAAAATTCTTCCTTGATCTTACAAAAAAGCTGATCCCAGAATACAAATAACTCAACTGTGACTAGCTTTTTAGTGATTTTGATTTCCTGAGCATGTAATTTCACTTATTTCTCATTTTCTCCATCTGCAACATACAACTATGCATACAACTATGTTTTTTTATGCCACACACTATCACCATAAGTTTTGCTTGTATGTGAGTCTATTAGCCACTAATTTCATTAGCTTCATGTCCCTTCTGGCTTGGTATGAATCACTGCACAAGAAAGCTGTACGTGGAAGATGCCTTTATGTCTTTCCATGGTTCTCTCCTACTGGTACTCCAACATTTAGCCTGCTTTTTGTGTCCTTATTTTTCTTCTCATTTTGCCTCCCCACTTCACCCAGCACACCGCTCTCCATTCTTAGCACTTAATAAGATTTCTTTTTCCACACTCCCACCTTAAGAAACATCCTATTCTCCTTCCTACACTACTTTCCAACCCTGTTTGAACTGAAATTAACTAGATTTCTGCAACTCTCCTATTCTGAAAATCAGTGACACTTTAATTTGGGGCTATTTTTGCATTTAAATTATCAAGTCCATACAGGCAAACATACCTTAATGTGTACAACTGGGACAACTTCCCCCAGCAGTAAACAGCCAGCTTGCATATAATACACCCCTCATTTATGCCCATCCATAAATTTCCACATATAATTTTGCTACCATGACCAGCCCCAGGAAAATGAAACTTGGCTTTATGACCAAAGGTGAAGGCATGCTTTGCTTCATTGCAAAGTGCAATAGACAGTGTCTACTATTCATAATGTTTCACTGAAAGTAAAGCCACACCTGAAATATAATCAAACAGGATATTTGATTTCTCTGTATAAAAATCAGCTTTTCAGCTGTCATGGTTTGGGCTGGACCGGCCACTGAACGAACAACAGATGCTCTCTTTGTTGTCTCTCCCCTTCAGAAAGGAGAGAAAAAGAGAGGGAGAGAGAGACAGACTCATGAGTTGAAAAGAAACTAAACTACTTTAATAAAATATTATTAATAAAATAATAAAAAGAAAATATAATAATATTAATAAGAAAATAATTAAATATACCAATATATACAAAACTGTATGGAGCTCCCAGGATGAGAATCACATCACTGTCAGGCACTGGGAAAGAACCAGACTGGATTCAGGGACAGATGAGAGCCAAACTCGGGAACCGGATTCAAGAGTACACGGATCGGGATCAAAGGCAGATAAACAAACAGTCCTCCTCAAATGCCGGCCATTGAATAAAGAGGCTGACCCCTTGGATCAACCTTTTTATCCTGGTTTTAGCCTAGTTTTGTCTATGGGCACAAAACATATGCAAGGACAGTGCCTGTATGCATTCTTACAAACCTGACGCTCTGTCTTCTTTAAGTTTTGGAATTAAATTTGTGTAAGGTGAAGGGGTGTAAGTCTAAAACACAACTGATTTCCTGCATTCCTTATGAAAAGGGGTAAGGTGACAAGAAAAAGCTATACCCAAGTGGTTCAGCTATGAGAAAAGCTGCAGGATGATTTTGGCCAGTGCCTGATTTCAACCAACAGGTACACCAAACTAATTATCGCATAAATTAGTATCATCAAAATTCCTCTTAACCAAGACATCTCACCAAAACATACCAGTTTTAATACCTGAGCTGCTTTAAAAACACCAATGTACCAAACAAACATGTAATTACCAAATGAACTGAATATACCCTAGCACTTAGCAACAATTAATAAATTAGTTAATTTAAGGATTGTTAATCAAACTAATAAATGGCAATTAACTCATGCTAACTTCCACTTTCACACATGCCAGCATGCTTGCCTGGCTGCAAGGTTCCTAAAATCCTGTTTGCAAAAGATACCAAAGTAAAGATACCAACTAGATTTTTTTTTTAAGTCTCTGGAACTAAGACAAAGCTCAAGCACGTATCTGAATTGTACTGTGATAAACCTGAATCTATATCACAAGCAGAATTAATAATTTTCAACTAATGATGAAGACGTGTATAGCATTTAAGGCAGAATTTTTGCCCAGCTTCATTGGAGTGTGAAAAATACAAATCCTTTCTTTCACAAGATCGTTCTTCTAGCTGCTTCCATGCATCTTAAGGTCCATGTCCCTATCTAATGACCACATAGACCAGCCAGCTCTGTTACTTTTGGTGGAAATAAACTGTTTGATCCATGCTCCTGTGTTACCCTTCTTCCTCAGTAAAAGACTTCTTCTCGTGAACTGACTGGGTAAAACAGCTCTTTGCACAATGTTTGGAAGAACGCTCCTTGAGCATATTCTACTATATAACCTCCGTAGTTTAGGAGGCAGAAAGATCATAAAGACTATGCCGTACTTGCTACACCAGAAGTCCAAATACTTCTTATCAGATGATGCTATCCATTTTATGATTTCTTAGTAATTTAACACCTTTATAGCTATGACCTATCAGTTGAGACTTCTTAAATTCATTTCACAATTTTATTATTGCAGGAACATTCATTACAAATGTCAATCTAAAACAGTAAGCACCAGTACTGAGTTACATGGTTTAAATTTACCACAGAATACAAAGCTATGCTACAAACCAAGAAAACATTGGCCTTCCAATTCATTTCTATTAAGTTCTAACACACTATGCAATCATCTCAAGGACTTTGTGGAATTCAAGAGTCCTACATAATTTCTGCCACCAATTCCTACTCCTTCCTCTTTCTTACATGCAAAAATTCAGTTACACCCTACCAAATCATTAAAACAAGAGAGCATAAAACATAATCCAGTATAAGAGAGTTAGAAGGCCTTCAGAGGTTCTTTTGCAGACAAGAACATAACTACTATGATGCCATTCTAAAGTGAAATCCACACTGCAATCATACCATCACTGTCTTAACTATTCCACTTAGGTGTATATGTAACTACCTATGTTGTGATACTATAGAGCTGTACAAGCTGAGAAATACACTTCCAGAGTTTTATTTACTACTACAAGGAAAATGTGCAACACTAGTAAATACAAAGTTATAGAAACAAGGGCAGTATGTCCATTTAGGCTGCAAATTATAAAATAGAAAGACAATTAATATACGTACAGGGATTTATTTTTTTTTACAGTTATTTTAAATCCCTAATATCAACATTGTAATCAGCCATTTTCTGTCCCTCTTGCAAGGCAGTACTGCACGTTGACAAGGTTGTACGTGACTAGGAAAGCAGACAGTAACATGGATAAATTAGAACACATACTCAACTCAAATTCGCATTAGTACTTTGCGTAATACTGAAAGAAAGAAGCTTTTTAGCTAATCATGAGAAAGCTCAAACTATGAGCCTGATCCAATAAACTGCAAAGTCTGCCCATAAAGCTTTAATATCTTGGTGACCAACTAGTTTGTCTAAGTCTTGAAACATGTCTGATTTAACAGCACAAAATTTAGATACAATGCAAGCATGTAACTTGCCCAAAGTTGCCAGCTAAAGAGCCAATAACTGAGTTAAAAAATCTGATCCTCCTGTTAAGGAGTTTATAGACACTGTGAGGCCCTGCCAAAAGACCTTCAAATCATCAGTCAGGAGTATATGAATGCTACGCTTGCCTTAATACAATAGAAGTGGAAATGGGAGGTCAGCGAAGTTTAATCATCCACATCTATGTCAGTATGTGGCCTGAGAATCCTAATGAACCTAATTTAAAATGTCAAAGTACAACACTAGGAAAGCCCGTATACTCCCAGCAAGACAAAATCTCGTTAATGCTACCAGCATTCACATAATCCAAGCTGCAAACACATTTCACCAGTTATTATGACAGGGGGAAGTGCTTTCTTAACTTCTAAATCTTGTAGCATTTAAACTGCATAGCTTGTACAAACATAAAAAACTTTGATATGCATGTTAGCTACCAGAACAAAAAGGTGATAAGAGAATACAAACTTCTCACAGGCTGCCAAAGCAGAAGAAAAGGAAAAAAAAAAAATAAAAAACCAAAACCACACACACAGAAAAGAGAGGAAGAAAGAAAAGAATAACTTTCTGCATGCTTTGACATTAGTAACTAAGGCCGGATATGGGAAGATTTAACTAGCTACATCTACAGAGCAGAAGTATACCATATTACTTGATTGATCACACACTTTATTCTGCACAATTGTTTGATAAATGCAGAATCTACAAGATTGATTCTCCT